TGATTTTGCTAGTTTACATTCTTGTCTGAATATTTGTGATGTGTGCCATTTGGCAAAACAGACAATGTTGCCTTTTTCCATTAATACCAATAGATTTCACGAACCATTTAAATTGATTTATTGTGATATATGGGGGGATTATAAAACCACATTCTTTTCAGGGGCACACTATTTTTTTAGTATTGTCAATGACCATTCATGTTGCACATGGGTTTATCTGATGCGTTATAAGTCAGAAATGGCACATTTTTTAAAATCATTTTGGATCATGGTAAAAACTAAGTTTCAGCGTCAAATTCAACAAATTCGAATTGACAATAGGACTGAGTTATTGTCTCTAAATATGTCGAAATTTTTTCAAGCATAGGGTATCTATCATCAACGTACTTGTGTCGACATCCCTCAACAAAATGGGGTGGTTGAACGCAAGCACCGTCGCTTGTTGGAAGTAGCTCGCGCTTTGCGCTTCCAAGCCAACTTACCATTGCACTTTGGGGAGAATGTGTGCTCACTGCCATATATCTCATAAATCTATTGCCTACACCTATATTGTTTAGTCGAACCCCTCATGACGTCCTTCTCAGTTCCAAGCCATCCTATGATCATTTACAAGTATATGATTGTCTTTGTGATGCCCACAATCATACGCCTGGCAGACTCAAATTTGCTCCCAGTGCATCTCGTTGTGTATTCATAGGCTACCTTTTGCACAACGTGGGTATTGCATTCTTGATCTTGAAACTCGTAAAATACATCAAGAGATGTGTCCTTTGTAGAGGGTAGATTCCCTTTTCGTGAATTATCACAAAAAGCGCTAGAAGTTACCACAGTATTATTACCTTTACCAATTCCTGACAATGGTACTTTTAACTTCAAACTTGAATCTATTTCTAATCATGCTCCTATCACATCTCCTGCGGCACCTGCAACAAAACCACATGAAGAATCGTTGATGGATGAACCTAGACTATCAACACATGTTTGCAATATTCCAACATGGTATAGGGGCTTCGATTGCTCTATGGTTCATCTAGAAGTCCCGACAACTTCACCCACGACACAAGACTCTTCGATAGGTACTCGTTACCCCATTTCCAACTTTCGCCACCTTATTTTGCTCTTCTCCAAGCTATATCCTCTTAGGAAGAACCCAAGTTCTTTAGCTAGGTGATTAAGTTTCCCCACTGGAAAACAACAATGGAAGCTGAGATTGATCCATTGCAACAAAGCAACACTTGGACATTGTAGCCCCTGCCTCCTGGCAAGAAGCCCTTGGATGCAAGTGGGTCTACAAAATCAAATACAAGGCCGATGGAACCATTGAACGATACAAAGCTCGGTTGTGGCTAAAAGGATATACATAGATCGAAGGGCTTGACTATCATGAGACATTTGCGTCGGTTGCAAAGCTTATCACTGTGCGATGTGTACTTACTCTCGCATCTATTAGAGGATGACCCCTATATCAGCTCGATGTGCACAATGCTTTCTTGCATGGTGATTTGCATGAGGATGTTTACATGCAAATTCCACCAGGGTTTGCTAGACAGGGTGAGACTCGAGTTTGTCGACTTAACAAATCATTATATGGGCTCAAGCAAGCATCTCGGTAATGGTTTGATAAGTTTTCTTCCACTTTACAATATGTTGGTTTTATTCAGTCCGTTGTGGATTATTCACTATTCACCTTAACTGTTGGAATGATTTCATTGTTCTCCTGGTTTATGTTGAAGATATTCTTGTCACTGGAAACAACATTCGTATCATTTTGTTATTAAAACAGTTTCTTCACTCCAAATTTCATATCAAGGATTTGGGAGTCTTGAAATTTTTTCTGAGCATAGAAGTCGCTCCTTCACAAAGAGGAATTTTTAGTAATCAAATAAAATATATTCTTGACATTTTGGTCCGTGCAAAACCAGTTTCTTTTCCTATGGAACAACATATTCGGCTTACTATCACTGATGGCAACCCCCTTCATGATCCTAGTCGGTATTGACATCTAGTGGGACGACTGATTTATCTCACTATCAAAAGACTTGATATATTATATCTGGTCCATATCCTTAGCCAATTTATGTATAGCCCTCAGCGACCTCACTACATGGATGTTCTTCGTGTGCTTCGATATCTTAGAGGCACGCCTTCATTTGGACACTTTTTACCATCTAATTCCTCTCTCCAATTAATATCTCACTGTGATTCAGATTGGGCCACCTGCCCCATGACCCGACAATCGACTACCGATTATTTTACTGCCCTTGGTACTTGTCCACTTTCATGGAAGACTAAGAAGCAACCAATAACATTTCGATCTTCGGCTGAAGTTGAGTATCGTGCAATAGATGTAGCCACATGTGAACTTGTGTGGCTAAAAGCCTTACTTTAGGATATCGTTGTATCCCACCCTCATCTAATGCGCTTATACTGCGACAACTAAGTTGCTTTCCATATTGTTGTCAACCATGTGTTTCACAAATGAACTAAACATATAGAACTCGATTGTCATCTTATTCGAGAAAAAATCCGTTCGGGCATTCTTAAAACCTCTCACATCTCTACTAAGCATCAAGTCGCAGACATTCTCACCAAAACATTAAGTCGCAAGCAATTTCAATTTCTTCGACATGATTTTTTTTTAAACAAATTTTTTTTTTCTTTTTTTGGATAGTTCAGTGAGGAAGATGTGTCACCTATCCATAGTAGAAATAGAACTCCATATGTCACATTGTAGCATCCTACCACTCTGACTACCTAACCCTAAGCCTATTCAATCAAGTTGCCTATAACTCTCATGTAGTACTAATAAAATATGCTAGGGTTTAAGGAGCCTCCTTTGCATAGAAATAGGAACCGTGGATATTGGATTTGACCAAGATTGTGTATTTAATAGGCACGAAACAAAATCAATGAGAGTATAGACTAAGTATAAGAACAAACATACCATAAGAACACAATTATTTATGTAGTTCACTCGTTAGGGCTAGGCAAGGAGGCAAACAAATTCATTAGATAATGAGGATTACAAGATTTATTGAAAAAGTGATCTTCCCAAACATGCCAATGGATCGAGATCATTGATCCCTTTCTTCGTTTTCTCTCTCTACGCATAAGAACAATGCCAATAAGATATCTTATCTAATTGGGGCTTATTTTTTCTTACATTCCTTCTTCACGAGAATCTCTATGTTGGCTTCATTTTTTCTTTAAGAGACTCGTTCTTTTGGCTTCTTTTATCAAGATGACATTTCTCTCTCTTGAATTCCTTCTTTCTTCAGGTGACTCTTTCTCTTGGCTTCTTTCAAGAGGATTTCCCGCTCTTGAAACACTTTCTATCCTGATTTCCTATTAGATGACCCAACTAGAGTGTATAAAACCAACTCACATAAAAGGGCTTAATATAGGCTTTCGAACTCCTAACTGGATCCCCGAGTAACTTTTGATAACTCAATTATGGGAAGATATTAATCTCCTAACATATTATCATTTACTTCTACACAAAATGGGAAACAATATCAGTCAATTGTTTATAATATAAGAACAAGCATAATCATATATATCATTGTTTTATTCAAGTCAATCCTCTATCAGGCAATGATTTTGGTGTCACAACCCCAACAATCTCCTCCCATAACAACAAAATTACTAGCTTGCCATTGCACTATCATCAAGTAGCTTTTTGGATTTTTGTTTTTTGTTTTTTTATTCTTTGCCTATAAAACTCTTTGTCATTATTGTCGAAGAAGATCATATCCACCATTATATCTTCCCCGCAAACCAAACACTTATATAATTTTCCATGTACCTTATCTTTGATTTAATCTGCAAACTCTAGCCTCTCAAATACCAAGATCCCACCAAAGATCATATGCATAATTAGCTAAATAAGAAATAGATGAATAAAGCAAAATCTTTTGCTTCATATGACTTCACTCTTCACCAAATGCTGACCATTATAATCCTTAAGTTCTCATTTTCGTTTAAATTTAATTAAAGTACTCAAAACTCATATGGTAAATGTATTATACATGGATGATTATAAAGGTACCCAATATTGCCAACTAAATTAAAGTTTACTAATATCCATTTCTTTTGTTTCATTGAGGGTATGATCATCGATAATGGTGGACTAGGATTTGTGTAACCGATCCCAAATAGTTGAAAAAAAGGCTTTGATGACAATGATGACCCCCTATTTCCATTTCTCTCTTTGTTTCCCCAAAACATGGCTCATTAAAAATAATGTCACTTAAATTTTTGAGCAAGTGAAAAGATAAATGTAAAAGGTGAGATTTATAAGATTCCAATCTTATACTATACATGTAAGGTACGTATTAAAAATCCATTAATAAAGGGTATTCCTAAGTTTAAAAAACTCTCTATTTGATTATCTTGACATCGAGATGTAAGAATAAAGAAAAATGAATTTGAAATCCTAAAAATAGTACATTTTGCAACAAATTCTCCGAATATCTATTTTCATTATTTTTACATGTTTATAGATCTGATTGATTTGCATCACCTTTATAACTTTAAATTTCATAATTAGGATGGGACATGGATGTTCAAGTTATCATATAATTTTCGATATCGAAACTACATCTTCTAATAAAATCATTTAACTTCATTATTAAGTTCACTCGCATGCTTTTCATGCAATGGAATCTTGTCCACTCTTCAAATATAGAAATCACTCATTTCCTCCCCTCTTCTTTCTCTCTAGTGGCAAAAAAACATGCTCCCCTCTCTCTCTCTCTCTCTCTCTAAACTTTAGCTGGAATTGGGAAAAATTGAAGAATGGTTGTCCTCCCTCTCCATTATGTAGGAGAGCCTTTTTCTTGAAAGGAGAAATAAAGGTAAAGAAAAATGCTTGTTTCACAAGCAAGGGTAATTTTGGAAAAGAAAATTACATCCAAGGCTCCTTTCAAAGGAGACAGGGGCAGTTTAGTCATTTTCGAAAAAACAGCAGAGCCGTAAGTACACCTCTGGTTCGAGATTCAATCTCTCTCTACCGATTTTGTCTCTCTCCTCCCCCTATAGATTTTCTCTCTCTTCAAGACAACACTCGGCGTGTCTCCCTCTCGCTCCACCTGCTTAAACTAGTGTCTCTCTCTAAAGACTTTCTCTCTCTTCAAGCCTTGCGTCTCTTTCTTTCTCTCTCTATAGCTCTTTCTTTCTCTCTCTAGCTGTTTCTCTCTCTAGCTGGTCCTTATGTCCGAAGCAGGAAGGGCAGGCGCTCCCGCTTTTAAAAACCTTTTGGCCTCTGACCCTGCACCACAGTTTGGTTTGGTGTTTAGAGAGAGAAAGTTGCAGAGCCCAAACAGGTTAGCAGAGTCTCAGTAAAAGGAGCAGAGGGAGAGACAGTGTTGCAGGTTGAGTTTTTCGGGTTGTTAGCAAAAAGAGAGAGAAATCAACAAACCCATTTACGTCTTTACGGAGAGAAACAAACAAACCCATTCACGATTTTTAGAGAGAGAAAAGGGGGCTATAATCCTTCATGGACCAACAATGGCGGCTTCACCAGTCAGAGCATCAGCAGGAGCAGAGCAACCAGCCTTCTGCAAAGCTCTTGAAGCTCTCAGATGAAGCATCAGAGGCACCCCCCTCTGCCCTCCCCCTATTCGTACGGGATTCAACTTCCGTTCTCTCTCTATCGGACGCCTTCAAATCACCCAGTAAATCCTCAAACTCTCTCTCTCTCTCTAACTTCACTAGCTCCTACATCCTACTTCCTAGAGAGGTGAGAGAAAAATATGAGTTCTATTCGTTGGAGTTTTCTTCCTAGAGAGAGGAGAGAGAAAATAGCAGCTCCTAGGCATTTGATTTCTAGAGAGATAAGAGGGAAAACGATAACTTTTCGTTGTTGGGTCGTCACAGTACTTGCTTTCTAGAGAGAGAATGGCAACTGTGGTTCTTGGGTTTTGAGAGAGAAAACAGGAGCTATTCAGAAGCGCTTGCTTTCTAGAGAGGAGAGATAAATGGTGACTCTGGTTTGTTGGGTTTTGATAGGGAGGATAGGAGCTATTCAGTATCATTTGCCTTCTAGAGAGGAGGTTTTTTACGAAGATTTTTTGCTTTCTAGAGAGATGAGAGAGAAAATGGTAACAATGGTTTGTTGGGTTTTGCAGGGTTGGGGGTTATGGGCCAGGTTTCTCGTTCTCCATTTAACATGGCGCAATGGCATGAGCTTGAGCAACAGGCATTGATCTTCAAGTATATGATGGCTGGAGCTCCTGTTCCTTTAGATCTGGTTCTTCCCATAAGGAGCAGCGTGCTTGGATTGCCTTCTTTCTATCATCCTTATCACCATTATCAACCAAGCAGTAAGCTCTTCTTTCTCTCCCTAGAAAACCCAACTCATTTCATTTCTCCATTTTTTTTTGGGTTGAATCACCATTAACAAAGAACCAGTATGTACTTTCTCTCTCTAGAACAACCGAGCTCACCCATTTTGTTCTTCCGGTGTTTTTGGGTTGGATCAGAGATATGAAGAAATGTCTGAACTGGGCTCCTCTCCTTAACTACTGTCTTTCTCTCTCTAGAACTGTAGTAGGCCTTCCTTTTTCTGTTGTTTTTTCTCTTAGCATCAAGTGGGTTATTCCCTGTTGTGTTGTTTTCTCTCTCTAAAACTCAAGCAGGCTTCCCTTCCATTTTTTTTTATTTCTCACTCTAGAGATTAAGCGGATTTGTTCTTTCCTTCTCTCAGTCTTCTCTCTCTAGGACCCTGTTTCGAGTGGGTGTGGATCTTCTGTCTCTCTCTAGGATTGAAGTGCGTTCTCTTGCAATTTCTCTCTAGAATTGAAGAGCATTCTTACTTCTCTCTCTAGAGCTCTAGTGGTTTTCCCGTCTCTCTAGAACCATAGTGGGTTCTTTCTTTCCTTCAACTTCTATCTCCTCTCCCAAGTACTGAAGCAGTTCCTTCTTTCTCTCTAGATTTAGGTTTTCCCATGTGGGTCTCTCTCTAGATCTAAAGTGGGTTTTCCCCCATTTTCTCTCTCTAGAACTGAAGTGGATTTGTTGTTTTGTTTTTGTTTGCAGTTTTGCAATTTGGGAGGAGTATAGATGCAGAACCAGGAAGGTGTAGAAGAACTGATGGTAAAAAATGGAGATGCTCAAGAGAAGTGGTTAATGGACACAAGTACTGTGAGCGCCACATGCATAGAGGGAGAAACCGTTCAAGAAAGCCTGTGGAAACTGTAGCAAATGCTACTGCTTCAACTACTGCTACTTCTACTATTCCTAATAATGTTACTGCAAGCAATAGCAATGGCAATATCAGTAACAATCCCCCTTCAAAGCCCTTCACTCTATCACCCTCCAATTCCAACCCACTTCATCAACCAAGGTTAGTCTCTCTCTCTAGAACCATTTGATTTTTATTATTTGATTTTCATGAGTAACTACTTTTTTTCAACCCTCTTCATCAACCTTGCTCTCTCTCTCTAAACCCATAACAATCAAATGCTCTCTCTCGCTAAACTCATTTAACTGTTATCAGGAAAAGAGAATCTCTCTCTCTAGACCTAATTGATTTTTTATTAGAAAGAGAGCTTCATGCTTGACATACCCACTTTCTCCTTTTCAAGGAAAGTGACCATCTCTCTCTAGATTTCTGTCTTGGTCTACCTACTTTCTCTTCTAGGAAAATGACAGGCCACACTTGGTCTTTTTGTCTCAAGAAACATACACCATTCTTGCTCTTCACACTTTCTTTTCAGGGCCACACCTGCTTAAACACCCCACTTCTTTCCTTTCAAGCTTTCTTTTGAAATGGAAACTCTCTCTCTCTACTGTTTAAATGACCCCCTCTTTTTACCCTTCTTTTCTTTCACTCCTCTTTCAAGGAGAAGTCTCTCTCTAAGAATTTGTTCTTTTTTGTATCCTCCACTTGTTTTAATGGATTCAAGGCATGCCATGTTTCATCAAAACAAATTTATCCAACTATTTCCACCCTGCAGGTATGCCTCTGGCCAAAATTCTGGCAGCTGGTTGCCAGAAAACTCGTTCTCAGGCCGTGAACCTGCCGGAAAAGCTGATGGCCAGATCCTCCGCCACTTCTTTGATGACTGGCCAAGATCCTCCGGCCACCAGAACCCGACCAACCCCAACACGGACTCGTCCTCTTCGACTCACCTAACGATCTCTATTAGAGCCTCTGCAAATCCATCTTCTGACTTCTCTCTAAAGCTCTCCACTGGTGATTCTCTCCTCCCTTCAAACAATGAAAATGGAAATAGGCCGACCGAGAATTGGATGGTGTGGGAAAGCCCTCTGGCCGAGGCCCTGAGGTCTTCGACTTCGACCCCTACTCCAAGTGATCAGATTAAGGGTGGTTCTCTTTGGAATAGTACCAACAGCTTGAGCACCACAACTAACAGCAACAGTTGTAGTAATAGAAATGGAGCTTCAATGCCTAATTCGACCGCGACTACTCCGACTTCAACTCGGGTTGAATCTTCCCCAACGAGTGTTTTGCACAAGCCATATGGGTCGATCTCGGAAACGAGCAGTGCCAGTACTTGAGGATGGTGGCATGGTTTTTGTTTGGTTTGACACCTCTCTCACTGTCTCTACATGAACTTGGAGCTCATGAATTTTATTTGTTTCTGTTTCTTGTTTCTCTCCCTCTGTGTGCACTAGCTTTTGGTCACAACTACTAGGTCATATGGGGTTTCTGTTCAGTTTGGGCTCTCTCTCTCTCCAGGATTTCTGAGGCTTCACTGTGAAAGCTCCGTCACTCTCCCTCACTATAATTTCTTTTTTTCTGGTGTTTTTTCTATCTCTAATGTACATTGCTGTCTGACCAGGTTGAGTGGGTGTGACTTTGGCTCAGTTTGTCAAACTTGATTTTGGTGTTTGTTTTGAGCATCACCAAGATGCTTATTGTTTCTGGAGTTATCACTTATGGATATTTCTTGTTTGATTTTCAGCCGTCGAAACTGCAAAATTCTAAATATTTTGCTGCTAATTTGCTTGTATCCCATGCTTAGCTTTCTGTTGATTGTAGTTTTGGATTAAACATTACTGAAAGGGAGTATGTTTTTCAATTGTTTCACTCAGATATTTGGAAGAATTTTTTTTTTTAAAAAAAAGGCACAAATAGGAATGGCATGAAGATTTCTCTTGAATTTTGAGCGTCAATCATGTGAAATCATTGGAGATATCTTATTTCTATAGAAGAATATGTTGGAAATTAATTTTCAAGTTCCCAAACAGGCCACTACCTTGTATTCTGTAATTGCATGAGAGATTGAATACTATTTTACCTTTCATCCCAGTTTACAACCATTGTTAGATGTGAAATCGGACGTCCAGGGGTGCAGAGTTTTAAGAACAAATTTTATGCTAGAACTATTGTTAGAGGTGAAATTAGGCGGCCAGGAGTTTATATGAATATGTAAAATGCTAGTTGATTCTTTTGTATGGTCTGATGACTTATTTTTGTTTAATTTATTCACTTTTTGGGACTGTATTTTATGATAGTAACATTCACCCATGGACATGGTTTCTATCCGGCCAACCCTGCGTGCGGACTTGGCAATAAATATATTTTTTAAATATAATTTGATCCTAATCATTAGAGAATATGTATTCTTTAATATGGAAATCATGAATATGAAAAAAAAAAATGAAAACTAGAAAACTAAAAATAATAATTATATAAGAAAAACATTTAGACCAGTACATTTGTTTTTAGATGGACCACCCATTGCATCATGTAGAAATGCGGTCCAACCCGCATGAAACAATTTTCCTTACTATTGCTATGACAATGCTTTGTTAAAAGTATAAAAGAATTTAGAAAAGTAAAAGGCAGTGTGATAAGTAGTGTTGATAATGTTGTTGAATATTAACCACCCCATGATTCAACAATATTGAGACCTTTTGAGGGAGTTTATGATGTCAAATCAGGTTTAAAGTTCCAATGAGAAATTGATACACTAATACCATGACAAGGGGACTCGCATCACATGGTTATGATCTCCAGGCCTATATGTGTATACTTTTTCTCTTGTGAGACCAAGAATTGCCAAGTTCAGCCGAGCTCACTGAAAATTGGGACATGTATACTTTTTCTCTTGTGAGACCAAGAATTGCCAAGTTCAGCCGAGCTCACTGAAAATTGGGACATGAAAATTGCTGTAATTTCTACATTTCTAATTTATTTGTGTGTTTTTAATCATCTTTTTATTATGTTTTACATTGGATCATGAATATTGTCCAGGTGGTTTTAATTTGAGGAGATCTTTCTACGCGTATCTACCTGCATATACTATACACATAAAAAAACTCGGAAGTCATCTGGTTTTGATTTGAGCAAACAACTGAACGAGCTGAGAGCAAAATCTAACAAGCCAATTTTAGTTGTACTTTGAAGTTACAATTAACTTGATATTATTTTCAACTCATTCTCAGATGTCTCTCAACATTTAAATCCCATGAAACACATAATGCAAGTTACATAGACAAGAATCTCACCCTTTTAACTACTTTTTTTAGTCTACTGAGAAACACAAACTCAAAAATATGAGAAAGGACACGTTAAGTAATATGAAAAAAAAGGACCGAGAAAAACAAACTCAAAAATATGAGAAAGGACACGTTTAAGTAATATGAAAAAAAAGGAAAGAAATGCAAATGGAAGGTTTTCACTCAATCATGTCCCTAAGACCATAAATACCAAAAACATGTTATACGAGATTTTTATGTGCCCATAATACCATCTGGACCTGGTTTCTATGCGGCCAAGCCCGCATATATAAAAATGCGGGCCGCTTAATAAATCTATTTTTGAGATGGATTTTAAGACTCAATTTTTAACATGTAATTTCTAACATGGAGATGATGAATATAAAATAAATAAATAAATTTTAAAATTAAAAATAATAATTCTAGTAAAAAAAAAATTGGACCATTATTTTTAGATGGAATGCCTACTTGCATCTATCTTTAAAATGGATGCTTTACACTTTCTGGACTACATATGTAGAAATGCGATCCAACCAGCATGAAACAATTTTCTATTACATTTTGGCAAGAGTTCTATGCATTTGTGTTTTTATGGAATAGTAAAAATTGACCAAAATGTTTCATGTTTTTATCCCTATTTTGCCAAATTTATCATTTTTTGGGGCTATTCAATTTACAAAAATTTATTAAAATACGCCTTATCTTCAAGCATTTAACATTTTACCTTTTTTCTACAATTTCAACCCAAGATCATGTGCACTTGGATAGCTAATTTTTGGGTAAATTCATTTTGGTGACTATTATGAAATTAAATTAAATAGAAATGAATCCAATGAGACCACTTACCTTTAGTACAAATTGGTCACAACTAGTCTTGATTATTGGATGTAAAATTGAGCAGCTGCATTTATTCTAATGACCAAGCTCAAAGTTCAAAAGAAGTGTTTTCAACCTTTATAACACCCAAGCTATCATATTTTATATAGGATGGTCACTAGTAATTGTGACTTCCTTGTACTAGGTAAATAGCCTCATAATATAAAATCCTAAATCAAAGCATACAAATAACACGTTAAATAGTTAATATTTTAGGCATATGTTGACATATTTCCCTTCAATTTATAATTTGGAGAACATAGTGAGAAGAAGAAACTGCAGCCTCCAGGGGAATACAAATTAACGAGATAGACAAGATAATGAAGAAGTTTTAACCAACAATGAGATAAAACAAAAATCAAATATGTAAAAGAATGATCCAGGTCATTCACATGGCCTTACAGATATGGGAGTATTACACCCTCATTATTCAAGTAAAATACTACATTTGAATTTTTTGATGCAATAAATTCCTAAAAGATATATACATCAGCTCTAAGATGAAATTAAAAGGAGTTCGCTAACAATGGGGAGAGAGAGAGAGAGAGAGAGAGAGAGAGAGAGTGAGAGTGAAAGGAGGAAAGAGAGATTTACAGGGAAAAACATGAACCCAGTATCCAGATGATGCTCAGTTTACCACCAAACCCATGTGCTCCTGAAAGCTCATTGTCCAAATATCTCAAAATTTACAAAGGTAGAGAACCTGAATCTGAAGGATGGGAATCCCAGAATCTGAAAGATGGGAAAACCAGTTAGAAACTGTTAAATTGTAGAGAATGAAAATTGCTATATATTGAATATCTAGTTTCTTTTCATTTTCCAAATGAGTAGAAGGGGAGAATTGCATCGTGGGAATAAGCATTGCTGCTCGAAGAAGGTCAAGAAACCAAACACCATTTCTCTATAATTAAAAAAAAAAAAAACTGTCTGGGTGCAGCTAGACTTGGATCCTCACCATAGTTTTTGCAGAACAAGGCCATGCCATATTTAAGAAAACAAGATCATTCTGTTATTCTGTTTTGATCCTCTGCTAAACCGTAGACAACTGCTGTTCGACAGGGGGCATATACCAGGATTGAATGGGGGCGGCCATCATACCACCCTTCCTGTAAACACAGAAAAGAGAATCGAATAATGACAATGGATCTGTATATTTCGACGTAAAAGGCTCATCTGTGTACCTATTAATCTACTTATCCATCCATCTATAATTGGATTCAGAAAATAAGTAAAACATCAATAAAGAATGGTTTACTTACATTTGAAAAGGACTTTGCTCCGTGATCAATTCTCTCGTAACCACCAAAACGTTTCTCATCCGAATCTAAAAGAACCTGGAACATTGAAAATAAACATTCAATTTGAGTCCATGTAATTTGGATGACAAATCATGAAAGATGGCCCAAAATGTAACAGAAACAATATTTAATAATACCAAAACCTGAGGCATCAAAGGCCGTGATTAAGTGAGGCTGCCATTGGGATATTAAAAGAAATATACTGACCTTGTACGTTCCAGAAGTGCGGCAACCGACCCGGTAATCAGTATAACTGTTCCAGTGGAAATTGAAAACAAAAACCAGGTCTCCTCTCTCGAAAACAATGACTTTATCCCCTTCATCTTTCCTTGAGACATATTGATGATCTGAAGTCATGAACTGAAAGGGCAAATTTTATAATTTTTTAAAGTGTAGATCTTTCACTGTGTAGAGGGTAGCACCTTTCAAATGCAAATTTTACAATGAGAAAATGATTTATAAAGCTTATTTATGGCATTTAAAAGACCATTTTACTAGCTACCAATGAAGTTTGATTGAAGTGAATATGCTATACACGACACTGGACTCCCAAACACAATCACCAAAGTATGTAAAAATGAAATAAGGTCTTAAGTTAAATATTCATGCGACGAATTAAAATGCAAAGAGGTTAAGAACAAAGAGTCACTTCCTTTACAAGGAAAACTGAAAAAATCCAGGAATTATCAAATTGCAAAATTTTAATAATACGACAATTTCTTGAAGTTCTTGACTACACAAATTTTCCTAGAGAACGATAAAAAGAGATGTGTATCCAAAATAACGACACGTACATCATATGCCTCCTCAAGATGCTGCATTGCCTGATCAAACTCTTGCATTCCTCGATACCTAAGATAATCTGCATCTCCCTAAATTCGAAAATACTGAAACAATCAAGATATGAACTTCTATAAAAAAGGACACAAACAAGAGAGGGAAAAAGATGCACAGATGTTTCAAGTAAACATATGGAAATGCACACACACATACAAACTAACTTCACTTGCTTACTCATGGTAAAAGTATGGCGCAAACCACATTCATAAGCAAGCTCTATCCATCTACTTACCAGATCAAATCTACGCCTGCATTTATCAAAGCTATTTTTATTCCCTGGGATTACACGTCCATTTGGAAGCATCTGGTCACCCCTCGGAAAGTCTATCCACTCTGGGTACAGAAAAAAGGAATGGTGAAGAAACTTCATTTATTTTCTGATGCAACTCAAAAGTTAAAACACAACAAAGATGGCTTTCAAACCATCATAGAAATTTCACCTGGATGACCAAATTCGTTTCCCATGAAATTAAGATACCCTTCACCACCTAACCCCATTGTGATCAGTCTGATCATTTTGTGCAATGCTATTCCACGGTCTATTAATTGAGTTGATGGTCTATCCAATGCCATAAAATCATACATGTCCTGAATAGGTCAACAGTAAAAAATAACATAAAGAACAAACACTTCAGTTACTTATCAGAAAAAGAAAAAAAACAAGTTAATCTACATTGCCAGAATACATGGTTCCCACGAGCATCAACCTCTTTAAAATTAATGCTCATACAGTTATCTATATATATATATATAGGGAAAAGTTTATATAGAGTCAAGGCTCTAAACAATCAAATTTGAGCCTACCTCAAAATCTCACTAGAAGAGGTTGTTTTAATGCCCAAATATCTTCAAATTGATTGTCTCGACATCAAGATGGACATCAGAAAAAAATGGATTTCAAGTTTTGGAAATAGTGTATTTTGTAATGTATTTTTGGACCGTCAATTTTCAAGATTTTCAAGGTTTCATAGATATGTCGATCTACATTATTTTTGAAGCTTTAAACTTTATAAACAAATATAAACATGTATTTTAAGGCTATCACAAAGATTTCCAATAGTGAAACCACATTGCTCAACACTATTTGAAGGTAGGCTCTAATTTGATTGTTTAGAGCCTAGCCACTATACAAATCACACCCATATATATATATATATATATATATAAAAGAACAACAGGAAATACACTTTCCTAACATTCGAACAATCATGGATTAAAATTAATGATAAAGAGTGCTAAAGAAGAGCCTGAATTATCAGATTGTTTCATATTCACAAACTACACCTTTGAGGAGCATTTCTAGCTGGAAGATTTAATTTGCCCTATTGCTCTTAGGTGTTAATCAAGTCATGAATTACCTATACACAGAAATTGCAATTTGATAAATCAAATTCGAGAGGAATTCAAGCTCTTCCGATTGTAGATCTCATAATTTTTTTGTCAAGTACACCTAATGAGCATATGTTTTCGTCATTGGCAAGTATTTGATTGTAAGCATCACAGGTGATGAATTTACCACGAAATGAATAGCTGTTTCATATGCAGCATGACCTTTTGAGAGCAGCAGATGTATTTAACTATCTGAATTAATAAATGGAATGTCATATAATGATGACCTTATCCATGAGCCAAAATGCCAAAGTCTTATCACCAACAAGAGCTTGATCATGGCTTTCAGCATAAGCAACACATTTCTCCAGCCACCTTCTATTCGTAAGTGTGTGCACCATGTCACCCATTTTCCAATACTCATCACTATACCTGCACCATATCAGCAAGTCAATGCCAACTAATAACCATATACAGCCACATACACTAATATCTTGCCATGAACCTTCAAGTGAGGACCAGATAAAATAGAGCTGAGATAAACTCCAAATAGATAGTCATCAGAAATATGTAAATTAGCTTAAACAAGTATTACTATCAGTTTCGCTTACTTTGAGAGAAGTTCAATCCATTTATCAGCTATGGCCATGTGAAGACGATAATCGAAACCAACCCCACCATCTTGAACAGGTATACAGAAAGTTGGCATTCCACTAACCTAAAATAGTATGTTTTAAAACCAGGGAGTGAAAATTAGAGATACCGAGTGGGATAACCAAAAAAGTAGAAAAGCAAACCACTTTGCCATGAAAGAATTTATAGACATGAAAGAACTTATACAAAAACAAAAGCATATAAAATTGAAACTTCTTACTTCAGAAAAGGACAGGAGAACAAACTAGAAATGATTCTATCGGTGGTAATATCCAATTACCCAAATTAAGTTTGAAGTGTAGCACTAACAGTTAAAAATGAACTCCAGTTCCACATTATCTATGGTACCATAAAAAGAACAACACTTATCAAAGAAATGGCAGAAAGCAAGTAATATCTTTCGTTGCAAACTTGGAAAGGTGGTGGATTTCAGTTCCTAGAAGCTAACATGTTGCTACCCATCCATGGCTGTTTTGTACTCCTTTGACTGCATCCTCCAGTGATGTTTGGTAGATGAGGATCTCACATGGCTGGATGATTGCTAGTAGCAACCCAGAAATCTCAGTAATCACAGGGAGGGGTTTTGGAGCCACACGGTTCTCATTCTTCTTAGGGGTGTCAACAAGCCATGCTGGCTTGAGTGCCAGCTCAGCTCATCTTGTAATGAACCAAGCATGAGCAATATCTTTTGGCTCGACAAGCCAAGAAAATCCGAGCTTGGTAGCTTGTTTATTAAACAAGCATAGCTCAAGCTGAGACAAGCTCGGCTTAAGCTTGAGACAAGCTCGTTTAATAATGATTATGTAAAAGAGATTGTATACAATGACCGTTATCTTTTGTATACGAAGGTCATGAACACCACAAGCCATCTGATGTAAAATTAGAAAGCTAGGATGTGTCAGCCCAACACAAAAAAATTAAAAAAAAAAAAAAGATTAAAGAAAGTTGTCTTGAACTTCGAGCATGTTCAATGGAACAATCCCTGCCTCCCAATTTCATATCTGACAGCTAGGGTGATTGCGCCACTCTTGTACCAAAGGTAAAGGTTCCACTGTACGCTTTCCCTATGTAAAAAACTAAAAACAATTTATATTATATTATAGGATTGTGTACAATGAGACCAATTTACCTTGGATACAGGGAGGTCACAAAAACTTACAACCATCCGATGTGAAATCTGATAGTTTGGGTGAGTCACAAAGTTCGAAAAAATTTCTTTTGAACTTTGAGCTTAGTCAATGAAATAAATGCAGCCACCTAATTTCACATCCAATGGTTAAAATTAATTGTGACCACCATGTACAAAAGGTAAATGGTCTCATTATATACTTTCCCTTATATTATATTGACCTCACCTCAAATGAGGAACTCAAAATATATAATATTTATAATTCTATTTGTGAGTACAAATGGAAGATTAAGATTCATACTTTACATTATATTTATGAGAGTACCTTTAGTGAAGGTGTAGTTTGAATTTTCATTTAAAAATAATAATCAAATTCAATTTATTTCACTTTTGAATAAACCATGATGAACTACAATGAATATAATTTTTTTTTTAATGGGTAAAACATAATTTAAAAGTCAGTCTTACCAGTTCAATTAATATTTGAAAAATAATGAGAAATTAATTTGAAAAATAATGAGAAATTAATTTGAAATAATAGTGATGCCCAATTCGTGAAAAAAAGTTAAATTTAAACTTCCTTACTTTGAAGTTCTATTATCTTTATATCGTTAATCACAATTTCTTAAAACTCAAAAAAAATGACGTGTTATAATTCTATTTGTAAGGTGATATGAGAATAACAAATTGCCAATCACAATTCAAACTTTAACATTGTATTTACGATAGTGCCTTTGACCACTCACTTTTATGTAAACAATATTTGATTTTCAGGTTACTTGCCAATTTGACCACACAGTAGATAATTGAAAAAAAAAACCGACCCAAAATAGTTGGGATAAGGCTCGGATGATAAGATGATGAGTAAATAATTGAAAATGTGTGACCCCATGTACCCACTTTATGATAAAGAAACAATGGTAATTCAAAAGGAAATTTATCAAATCACGGAATTGATTTTAGTAATGTTACTTTGAAAAAAAAAGATTTTATAACTAAATATAGTTTTAAAAAGTTGAATTTTATTTTTTCTCAAGGTAAAGTTGGAATTTTCATTGATAAGAAACTATAGATTTTCTCTCCTTTTGAGTGAAAATTTGATTTTCAAAACAACAAAATTATTTGATATTGATCATCTGTTAATAATATATGAAAAGTAATTAAAAATTATTTTGAAAAGTGGACTACCCAAATTTTAACCATATATAATAGTTGTGGACTTTTGTTAAGTTTAATTCTTAGTTATCATTAGATTGTGAATCACAAACAATTATTAAAACTTCAAAAAAGATTAATTTAAAAGGTGATATTATAATTAATATTGTCAATTAATAGTCAAAGTCTAACAATGTATTGATGCCAGAACTTTTGGCTGCTCAATTTTTTAATTATTGCTTTTGATTTGGGCTACCTAGGTGGCAATACATATTTATATATTAATGTGAACACCTAAAGTGGCGGGTAGATTAGTGAAAACGTGAGTTACCCTAGGTCCATACTTTGTGATTAAATATAGTTTTAAGTTAAATGTATTTTTATTTATTTAATTAATAAAGTTACTCTCTTACAAATTTTAATTTATACTTAATATCAAACTAAATTACATTTATTCATTAAATATTTAAGAATTTGACATGCTAAAACTATGCTCATGCAATGAAAATTATTCTAGTTATCGTTCTTAATCTAAACTTCTATATAAAAGTTATCACCTTTAAACTAAATATTGTAATCAATAAGTTTGATGTTTAATTATATAATTCAAGTTTAGTTTCTATAGTTCTCCTTTCAAGGAAACTATGAAATTAATGAAACTTTTATTGTACCATGTCAAATTCTGTCTGCACCTAGTGGCCTAGGTATCATCCCAAAGAAGGTTCCCACTAGGGTTCTTGGCATGGGCGCGGGCCATTATCCTTTTCTTTCGGGATTGTGTGCACCTCATTTGCTCCATATTGAAGGGTGCTATCATAGGGTATCTCTAAGTAGGGGATTTCCATTGTTTGACGGCGAAAATGGTAAGAAGGAAGAGTGCAGCTGCCAAGAAAGATGACTCATCCTTCCCTTTTCATTGCAGGGGAAGGGAACGGTGGAAAAATGAGATGTGATGATGTTGTTCGCTTTTATTTTGGTTATGTCATCCCTCTTTAAAGCTTTGGTTGGCGAGAGGAGTGGGAAAAGGTTGCTTTATAGTATGGTCCCCCATGACCATATTGTACACCTATTCCCTCAGGTAAAAGGTCTATTGAGTACTATATTTGCTAATCTAAAATGGAGGGATTCGCTATAGAGTTTAGAATCACCGATGATTATTTTAAAAGTATAAAACTGAATTATGAGTTTCTAGACATTTGCGTTTGATGGTCCAAAACAATATTATGAGTTGTTTTTCTCAAATACATGCACAAAACGTAAAAGATATTATTTTTTTTTGGAGGCTGCTGGCTCCATTGAGGACGTTAGATTCCCAAACTTGTGGATGTTTAAATGCTTCTTTTTTGTCAAATAGATACATAGTACGTATCGACTTGGTGAGAGATACGTATGATTGAGCATAACTAGTGTACAAACAACTAGTGGAGTGAGACATGAGTTTTCAGTGACAATAGGTCTACATCAAGCGTCAGCATTGAGCTCGTACCTCTTTGTTTTAGTTATGGACGACTTAACTAGACACCTACAGGATGAGGTATCATGGTGCATATTGTTCGCAGATGACATAGTTTTGATCGATGACACCCAAAAGAACATCAACACATAGTTAGAACCTTAGAGGGATGCTCTAGAATTCGAAGGTTTTAAAATTAGCTGGACTAAGACAGAGTATATTGAATGCAAGTTTAGTAATAATAGGAGTAGAGACGAGGAAGTGGTTAAGATTGATAGCCAAGAAGTATAAAAATGACCGCACTTTTGATATCTTGGATCGATAATCCAGGAAAATGGAGGGATTGAGGAAGATGTCGCACACAGAATTAGAGCTGGGTGGGCGAAGTGGAGATGTGCAACTGAAATTTTATGTGATCGCCGCATACTAATAAAGTTGAAAAGGCAAGTTCTATAGGACAGCCGTGAGACCAGCCGTGCTAAATAAGCCAGAATGTTGGGCAAACAAAAAATAATATACCCATAGAATGAGTGTAGCGAAAATAAGGATATTAAGGTGGATGAGTGGCAAGACAATAACGGATAGAATTCAAAATGAATCCATTCGAAAAAATTTAGGTGTGGCACCAATCGCCAATAAGATGAGAGAGACTAGACTTCGATGGGCTGGCCATGTGTAGCGCCGACCCAATCCAACACTTGTTAAAAGGCGTGAGTTCAAGTGGTAGGATTTAAAGGGGCAAGGGGTAGGCCAAAAAGGATGTGGTTGGAAGTAGTCCGAAAAGATATGCGAACTTATGACTTTACTGAGGGTATGGCATTTAATAGTGCAGAGTGGCGTATCAAGATTCGTGTAACCGACCCCAAATAATTGAGAAAAGGCAAGGCTATGATAATGATGATGAGATGCATTGTTGGCTAGCTTGAGGAGGTTAGATCCTCAAAATTGTGGATCTTTAAAATGCTGCCACATTAGGTTTTACCTGCGATACCATACATCTGCGGACGTATGTAACTGTTGGCTCATTCGTGCATCTGCTACATGGATATAAATATATAAAGTTTCGTGAATATATAACCATTCCACTGAAGCTCATAATATGTCTTGCATGCCACATGGTTACCGAACCATGTGATGCTTTATATACTATAGATACCTTATTTAGACAGAGAACTCAAAATCCCCAACAAGTTCCAAATAACATAACAAAGTAGTACTCACATCTTCTCCTACAGTAATAGCCTCGGGGTAGAGCCCATGAATCATATCATTGGCCAACATCATATACACAATTGCATCCACATCAGTTGCCAATCCAAAATATTCATTATAATTTCCTGTAAATGCAACCTGCAAGTCCAAAAAGCTGAAATTTGAGGGAAACATGAAGGAGAATTCAAGAAGAAAGATTATGCAAATAGAAATCTGTAACATGGAAATGGCACAATTTGAGTTTGTTGTATGACCATTCTTTTGTGAGTGTACTAAGCAATCAATAGCATACTGCATCCCAAACTTGAAGTTTAAAAAAGAAAGATTGTGCATCAATGAAACCTTCTGATCTATAACATGAAAAAGGCATAGATTGAAATCATTTGGTTTATGACGCAGATCAAAATCTGGTGGCTACAAATTATAATTTTATTTTTGCTAATTTTATTTTTAGAGTTTGGGTAGATTTTTTATTTTTATTTATTAAGATTAATTATTAAAATTAGGATTTTTGGGGTTAGTTTTGATAAGTCTAAATTTTATTAGTTCGTTTTTATTTTGCAAGAGTTGGTCATGTTTTTAATTATCAGTGATAGAGTCCATTGAATAGATTAGGGTTTGTTTTCAATATGCAAAGGTTTATCTTATGCAAAAGTTTATCTTATTAGGTTTTGTGTTGGAGTTGTGGGTGCAAAAAAATAGGAGCTTCGTTTTGGATTTACGTGGATACAAGCTTTTCCTTCAGGAAGTCTTCTCTTTGTGGAGGAGAAAATATAGTTAAGGATATGGAAGGGGTAATCGGAAATAGAAATAGTAGTAGTTATCGTTAGTTTTTAGAAAGGATAAGTTGTAAAAAATAATTGTTGGTGCGTGAGAATAAGAGATAAGCATGTAGTTTTGGTAAGATAAGAATTTTGGTTATAAATGGTAAGGTATTAATGGGTAGTTTCCTTTTTAGAAGGAGGTTATTTCCTTAGCTCATAGGAGGAGATTGGGTTGTTAATAAAAAGATAAAGTTAGATTAGGAAGGTTTATGTTGTCTTTTGAAATAGGACGTGCAAGGCATGGGTAGGAATTGAGTCAATAGTATTTTGTTAGTTAACTTATTTTAGTAGTTATCTTTAGGGTGGTGAATATAAACTCCTATAAAAGGAAATTTGAATTTTAAGGAATAAAGAAAGTGTTTCTTGTAGAGAGAGAGGCCCTTTTGTGGGTGTTGTTTCTTCTCTTGTTTATGGGCCCGTGTCGAAATACTCGTATCCGCGCGTTTTGTTCTTTCTTCTTGTGATTCCCTTCTCGTTTTGATTTCCCTCTCTAAAACACAGTTATTTTTATAGGTGTTGCTTGTTGGTAAATTTTATATTGCGTCAGTTTACAAAGATGCCAATAGCATATTGGGTCCCAAATGTGCAGGTTGTATTTCACCAAAAAGGAAGTATAAGGGCTACGAAACTTAAACCGTTGTTCTCTTCTAATATCATATACTAATCCAAAAAAACATAAGGTAAAAGATTCACATCACCTGTAAACCGTGATGGGTATACATCATAGAGGTGACTCCATCAAATCTAAACCCATCAAACTTATATTCATCAAGCCACCACCTTGCATTTGAAAGAAGAAATCTTAGCACCTACATGCAACATGTATGTCAGACAGAAACTTCTAAAGCCAGCAATACTTGCAGTCACAAGACTAAAACTCAAATATCGAAAACCATACCATGCAATCAAGCCACGCTAATTATTCAAAAAGGTGCATACCTCCCAACTTCCGTAGTTAAAAAGGCGTGAGTCCCACATCCAGTGGTAACCACGATCTCCAGAATGGAAATAGTGAGAGTCTGTTCCATCAAACATATTCAATCCATCCAACACATTGTTGGAAGCATGGCTGCATATTCCAAATCGCAGGAAAAGGAATAACATTAAACCAGCGAAATTAAAAAACTTAACAAGACACCAACAAAGAAATGAAGGAGATACGAAACAAAAGAGATGAAGAATCATAATGAGAGATGGAGATGGGTAATGCCTGAAACACTAATAATGAAATATACTCGATTTGACCAATTTTGAAATTTTGGCATCAAGATCCAGATGTGGACGCCATACAAGTTTATTCCATGCCACAAATAGAAAAGCATATAATTTGCAGTAAGCCATCATGGATGTCTTAGAACAAGGAAAGAAGAAACCACGTCAAGGTTTACAACAAGACGTTTCCTAATGTATTAAAAACAATTAAAAATGACCAAAATAAAGGACGACAGCAATCATTGTTTGGACTTCAGAGAAATAATCATCTAATCTAAACAAAATTGATAAATTAGAGATTCTGCAGGACTTTCTAAAGCTGACAGCACTTAAGCCTGAATTACTAATCCCAGCCTTTAGCCCAGTGGTGTGACATGCACTTTGTTTGAGTGAGATCAAAGGGTTTGAATTTTGAACTTGTCCCTCACACAAAATGCATGGCCAAATACTTTACAAATGCGGTTATAATGTAAGTTATGAAGCGAGAAACAATGAAATCTAGCAGGGGATAACCACATTCCTAGTTAAATTTTGAAAACAAGCCTTTCCTCCATAAAATATTTGTATCTTGTCAATGCTCAATGATGGGGTGTTTGAGGGTCTCCATCCTCCTGTCAAATGTATGGCTGCAAGGCCTTTACTATTCATACCGTTCTTATCCATTAAAAACACATGGGAATGCCTTTTTCAAATTTTATGCAGATTAAAGAAGGTTTTGTCAATCATCAAAAGTACCACTTTCTACTGAGATCTTCCAAGTGAACACCTATAAAAGCCAGGTTATTCATCAGCTTTGTCTAATCAGGAGATTCAGGACCATTCCAAATGCTAGAATCCAGTTTTTCTTTTTTGTGTGTGTTCGTCGTTTTGTTTTGTTGTGTGTTTGTGCATCTTTATGTATGTGTATCCCTAATTTATTTCTTTCTATTATTATTTTGTATTTGTTTTTTTTGTTTATTTTTTGGCTGGGGCGGAGGGGAGGGGGGGAGGGGGGGGGGCTTTTGGGTGGTGGGGGTTGTGAGGGCAGGAGGAGCATTGTCGTGGGAGCAGAGATTTTTGATATTAGAGTGGGAGAACAGCCCATGAATATCCATATTTGGAAGAAGTACCACTTCAAGGAGAAGATATGGCTTCTAAGGACCAATTGTTCAGACCATGTGTCATTACTTTGTATCATGTATAAGTGGCATTATTGTCATTACTACTTTGTCATTTATTCCCAATGTAATATCCCTGGATGATAAAGGCATTTGTGTAACTGTACAAACCCTAATCTCAAGATAGGTAATATACACACTGAGTGGGGATTCAGGTCACCCTCTCTTGCTCTTCTTATCCCTATCATTTCTAGCGATAAAACATCGAAGTAACATGGTATTAGAGCAGGGGTGCACAACGCTAGGCTAATAACAAACTGAGATGCGCTGAAGCTATGCTATGTTCTTGAACAACATGTGGGAGATTGTGAAGAGGTTTGTTGAGAAGCTTTTTTTTTTTTTTCTTCTGTTTTACAAGGTCCCTGTGGTTTGTTAGAAAGAATGTTGTGAGTAGCACGTGGGATATATACGATAAAATACAAGTCGAATGGAAGTATTTAATGATTCAAGTCTCTATTAGTGAAAAGGGTTTAACCAACAACATAGATTGGATTATGATAAAACTTCAGCCTCGTAAAAATTGTCATTATTTGAGTAGATTATTTCTTGCTCTAATGTATGATTGGCCTCTAATCCAACTCAACATGAAGAATGTCTTTCTTTATAAAGAGTTAAAAGAAGAGGTATGCATGGAGAAGCCCCCAGGTTTCAGTGAGAAGCATCCTTAGGAGTATGTTTGTTAGCTGACGAGATCCATCCATGGATTGAAGCAGGCCTCTCGTACTTGGTTTCAATCATCCAATAAAGGACCATGAATTCATGAGGACAGCAGTGGATCATTCTCTCTTCATCCTCGAGCACCAGACGTATGATGATTATCCTCCAATATGTCTATGACATCATCACTACAGGAAGTTTTTAGATCTTATCGCGGACATCAAGAGCTTCCTTATGAAAGACTTGGGAAAGAAAGCTTTTTAGATCTTATCATCGAAATCAAGAGATTCCTTCATGAAAGACTTGGGAAAGCTACAGTACTTTCTAAGGATAGAAGTGGATCGCCTCCAGGACAAACTCTAATTATCTCAACACAAATATGCACTAGATTTACTTGAATGTACCATTACGTTTCATTGTAAACCACCAGCAGATCTAGCAATACTCAACAAAAGATTAAGAGAACGAAGGGAAATTATTTGAAGAACGAAATAGTACTGAAGCATGGCAGGCGCACTTTAGAACCTCACCCTCACTTGTCCCAACAATGCCTTCTTGGTAAATCAGGTATGCCAATTTATACATGCATCCAACGATGTCCACACGGAGGCATGCAAATACGTAATCTAATGTATGAAAGGGCCCATTAATCAAGTATTATTTACCTAAAGAATTACATAGATAGTAGATATGTTGCTTCCATGACTGGCTACTTCTATACCAATTGGGCAAGAGATCTTGATTCCCGCAGGTCAGTCTCAGGATGTTGCGTTTATTTAGAAAGAAATTGATATCTTGCCATCTTGGAGGACAAGATGCAAAAATCAGTAGCTCATTCAAGTATGGGGGCCTATTACAAAGCATGGGCAAGCAACATAGTAGAGATTTCTTGGATACAAAATCGAATTGCACCACTTGGTAATAGAGAGTACAATGGTGATGCAGTTTTTTTTTTTTTTTTTCATGTTTTCTAGATTTTAGATTTGGTGTTATTTGGGTTTTTAGCATCTTCCCCACATCAAATGGTCTGCCATATATTGTGACAATCAATATGTACTTGCTATTGTAGCCAATCCAATTTTCCATGACTACACCAGCACATAGATATAATCATTTTGGGCACAAGAAGATAGAAACAGAGGCCATTTGAACAAATTGTATTTGCACCAAAAATTAAATCGTGGATATCTACTCTTAAGGCCATGCCAGTGAACAACATTACGTTTCAAAAGACAAATTGTGTACATGTTCAAGCACGATGTACAATTTGAAGGGTGTGTTAAGACTATGTATCATGACTTTGTATTATGTATAAGGGGCAATATTGTCATTATTGCTTTGGTAATCATTCTTTTTTTTGGGTAAATGCTTTGTTATTCATTCACAATGTAATGTCCCTAGATGTTAAGGGCATTTATGTCATTATACAGATCCTAAGTTCCTAACCTCCAGCTGTGTAAAATTTAATCACATAATGAAGATGCGGCCCCAATACATTGATTGGGGATTTAAGCCACCTTCTCCCGATCTTCTTATCTCTATCTCTTTCTTTTTTGGAGACAAAACATCAAACTTACACCAAGTACCTCAGAAAGTCGGGATTTGTCAAAGCATCATTTCTCATAAGTTCAAGAATGAGGGAAAGACTGCCCTACCAAGCTAACTACACCCTAATGGACCATATGGTGCCAAGTACTATTTAGCTTGAGTGCCAATAATACACTTAAACATGTTAGATATATTATATTTTACATCATGCACTTTATATTCCTTCCAATCAGAAACTTAATTAATTCACTATACAAATCTAACATCTACGGTGTAGACCCATAGGCGATATGATGAGAGAAAGTGGATTTAGGTGGGCTGGCCATGTATAACACATACGCAGTACAACACCTGTTAGGAGGTACAAGTTAGTTCAAGTGGAAGGCTAAAAAAGAGCAAAGGGTATGCCCAAAAGGATATGGTTGGAAGTAATGAGAAAAGATATGGGGACTTATGGCCTCACTGAGGGTATAGCCTTTGAATGGTGGATCAGGATTCCTGTAGCTGAACCCAATTTGTTGTGAAAAGGATTTGACGATGATGACATATCTAAACATGAGAGGTATGTATCATTTCCACCCCAATGCATACTTGCAAATATATTTTACAGACCTCAAGTTCATCTATTTGAAAGGAAGCATAAAATTGAAATATCTGGGAATCTGGAATCTTACACATAATTTCTAGTCATGATAAATTGCAAGAACCATATCTTTAGTTCCAAGGAAAATTATGAAATCACCTGTGCACAATATCCATGAGAACAACCAGACCAAGTTCATGGGCTCTATCAATCAGAGACTTGAGATCATCTGGAGTTCCACAACGGCTACTAATACCAAAAAAGTTGGTCACATGATACCTACATCACATGAACAACAAAATGTATTCATGTGTTGAGAAAAACATTATTGGAAAGTTAGAACCCGGAAAAATATTGCAATTTCTTGTTTTGTGTTCAATAGTGTCTGAATCAATGAACTTTGCCAAGGATGAGGAGATACCCAAAGCTTGCATAGTAGGAATGCTCCTGAATTGCCATAAGCTGAATAGCATTGTAGCCCAGTCTTTTGACACGTGGGAGCACATCATCCCTGAAACCAGCATACGTGTTGATCTTAGGCTCCTGCATTATAGTCAAATTGTTGTGAGACGAACCATATACCAGTAAACAAGAAAGAAGAAAAAGTAATGCACAAGAAGACTATCATTTTCTAATCAAAATCACATCATACAGAATAATACATCATAACATCAAAACTAAAATCATGACTTCATGGAGAAAACACCAAAATGATATGCAAATGAAGGTACAAGAATCAAAGATAATAGATATGAATTGATGCTCCAAAATATGAATGTGAATCTCCATGTTTGTGCGACATGCTTGCATAAATAAGAGGCTTGGAGTTTAGAAACTCACTATACTACTCATTCCAACATGTGCCTCATAAATACGCAATGATTTTGGCCTTTTGGGCTGAGGATGTTTGAACTCATATTTTTCCTACAAACAGAATAAGAAGCCATAAGCCAGGTAAAAATTGTTAAGGCACCAAAAACAAGTAAAGTATCAACAAGAAGTCATGTCAGGTATAACTCAATATGGATCTGGGTCTTGGCTCATGATATAGAGCATTATGAGCCACAATACAACTCCCAAGGTTTAAACCAAGAAATGTCAAAAAAATAACAATACACAACTGGACTCATAGGGACTTGAGAAGCAAGCTCTCTTTGTTCCTTTATTTGTAATTTCAACACTGGTTAATACTAGGTCAAAATAAATGAGGAACAACAGAATTGCACATCTAAAAGTTATATAGTTATCATATCATAGAAATGTGATCCAGCACAACACCAGACCATGATAAACTTTTTCCACATTCAAAATTCAATCAAAATGTCGTAACATTCAAAGTAACAAACCTCAAGAGGCGGATCATAGTATATGCCATTGTACGGGATTTCTCCAGGGGCCTGAACTGAATACTTAATCCAAGCTGGAATAGAATCTTTGATGCCCATTGGTGTGTCCATCCGAATCTGTTGTACCACAAAAGTGCATACAAGTGAAATTCAGTACATCAAGAATATTTCTGCACAATATCTTAGCAGCTTCTGACTGATTTTCAATAAAGATATCAACAATAGAGCATGTTCCAAGAAAAAATAGCAATATAAGCATATATAAGCATGCATATATATGAAAAATTGGGTCCACATGTTACTCATATTAAAGGCTTGTACCTGATAAATTCTTTCATAGCACATTATTCCAATTCACAATCACTGATATTAGATCTTCCATGACAGATAAATCTGTACCTTAACTCGAGAACCATGGGGAATTGACAGTGAGCCATCTGCATTGTTTGGCAAGAAAATCTCCCATACCCCGAACTCATTCTGCACAAAACAGAAGATTTCCCAACATCATTGCTGCTTCTACAATCGGGAGAAGATGGTGCAACGGACATTATATAAGTGGGACTTGGGTGTCAATATGACAGTTTATCCATTGCAGGTAATCATATTTATCATAGATTGCATCTTTATGACAATCTCAACCAGTTTCCAGGATATAATACCAAACAAGGCTACAATATTATGTATAACTAGTTGAAAATCAACTCTCGTTGATTTTGTTGGAGTTGAGTTTGAACAGAACTTGGACTTATCACTGTCGCAACAGAGTCAATGACAAGATTCAGTTGGTACTTTGAACTAGATCGCATGTAGCTGCAGTTTTTATTAATAGACCACCGTTTTTTGTTGAATGCAGTTTTGTAGATCGGTTGGTACTTTGAACTAGATCGCATTGCAAGTTTGTGGCAACGAAGTCACCACCGTTTTTTGTTGAATGCAGAAATGCTGTCTACTTTATTGACTGAGGTGCCTTTACCAGCAACCTTAACATACTGGAACTTTCTTATATTACAGAGCGCTTTAAGCATCGGCTCTTCAACACTAATAATAAAAAATGCAAAGTCTAACATAAAACAAAAAGTGATTATTGAATCCTTAGCGGTATGCAATGTTCCTTATATGATATTTCAGTAATTTCTTAGTAAGTTTGTAAGTCAAAGCCCATTGCCCCAAACTAGGGTTAGGGATAAGGCGGCGGATCCTTAGTAGATACGTCGATGGATACATTCACCGCTTAGTGTGGCTGTAGTATCAGAGTCTGCTCCCTGTGCATGAGTGCTGCAGTGAGCGTGCTCTAAGACACTCAAAACATAAACCTAGTTATAAATAAAGACGTCAATATAGATAATCTAAGTACAATTAATTAGTTCATGACATTCTAGAAAGATTTGTGGTATTTAAAGTTAGGACCTGG